ATCACTCCAATGCAATCTATAACTGATTGCTGCCTACTAAACAAAGGTCATTCGTGAATCCTAGTATCCCTCTTAAGACGCTAAGCTTCTGGCTGTCACTGAACTTCAGCAGTGATCTTGAATAATGAACTCGCAATGAATACGACCTCGGATTCCCAGTCACACTTTGAAATTGCTTTTCCCCTCACTAATGCAGTGAGATACCGCCTTACGTTGCCAGCTCACAAGTAGCTAACCAACCAACGAGTCAAGAAGAGAACCCGAGTCACTGAGCAAGTAGAGATCCGTGCCTTACCCGAACGGCCTGTATAAATGCCTCTGCTCCACTTGTCAGAGACCATGCTCGAATCATACTGGGCGCTTCCCACCCACTCAGTCTTTCAGGCCCTTTTTGTCCTGCGACATCGGGTGTTCGAAGCACACGTTCGCTAACCATGCTGGTCCGCTTCATTTCTGAAGCCTTAGCAGGTACCTGTCGTCTGCACTACCAAGGCCCAAGGAGATAGGCACATCTCCGCACCTTCGAATCAAAAGCCTATATCAACTGCGAATTCAGTGTGAGGCATTCAGAAGGACCACAACAAAGGTGTCTCTCCAATACGCCTTTTCTGTCAACATGGTGTCTCTCCTCTGAGGCCCTTGGTTTTAAACAAGCTTCCAGATATGTGGTGAGAACGAGTGATTAGTCTAGGCAAGTCTCACTTTTTGTCGCGGTGAAGTAGCTCTGCCCGCGCCGAAGGATCCCTATTCACGATTGTTGTCTATACTGGATGTCCACCACAGCATAGCACTCATTGTGTGTACGAATGCCTTGTTGTAGCAAGATGTACGGCTCGGTCAAAGGTGCCAACTCAAAGCGCAATCACTTTCCCGTACTTATCAAGCCATCCAACCAAGCTCGTTATGTTCGGGAATATGACTGGGTCCGGTAGTAGTAGTTCCAAGGTGACAGTAGTGGGTTTCCCGCATGGCAGTACATGGCTTAGATATCGAAGGACTGCACCCGACTCGCTCAGGAACCCACATACACCACTTTGGACTGGATCAGCGGATATTGCCAGAATTATCAGACTTAGAAATTTGGATTATTCCCTTAAGTGTGTGAAAGGGTGTCGGTAACTCCCTCATGAAGCAGAATAGTCACTGTAGGATCATACAGGCAGCTTCTGACCAATCACAGCCAAACATGGAGCCTCGCTTACGCTAGCTCACCCGGTGGGTCCCCACCGCAGCACTATATAAGCTCAGCGCACCCGCACTTCTTTTGGACTTTTTCTTTCTTTCTTTCTCCATCCTGGTGCACGGGTTTTACACGTGTCAGTGAGGAGACATCCGAGACCGTGTTTTTGCTAGTTGAAAACTACCTAGTTTGACCGCTCTCCTTGGTCTTCGGATCGGGGAGGAATTTTTGAAAAAAAAGATGCCATGTCTCCAAAATTTGGAGACGGTTTAAGAGTACGTAGACAGCGCTGCTGTTGCCCTTCTGTTAGTTCATTTGGGTAGTACTCGAGATTGGTCTTCTTTTCACTGCTGTTGTCTCCCTTGAGGAGGCCTGGAGAGAAGAGAGCCTAATCACGTGTAATAAAATTCTACATCCAGTAGATGATACGCTAGACACCCATGCTACCTGCTACATGTGAACTTCAATTGTTTGCTGCACATGCGCGACTCGGGCCGTGTCACTGGGTACTTGGGCTGACGGACGCGTCCAGTGTGTCCACTCGCCACGGCTTCTCTAGGGCTCTTGTGGCAGTGCTGAGGAACGATTGAGTTGTGGCTGAATGCACCTAGGCAGCTGCGTTTCATGCAGACTTGATTGGTCTAGATGTAGAGTAGTGTTCTAGAATGGTAACAGCGCTCTCACGCTTACCCTCAGGGATCGTAAGACTAACCAAATACCGTCGCGTTATGCTGTATCCATCTTAATGGCATTGAGACACCTGCTAGTTTCGGATATACACTGTCTATTCCGTGGGGTCTGTTGGACCAAAGTGGCCCCAAAAAGTCAGGGCGATGATGGCTTAGCCGCTCACCGCTCCAGGTCTGGTGGGAATCCCTTGTGACGTCGCCAACTGAAGTCGCTGCACATGCCGGTAACAACAACCACCTCTCGGCCAGGCTTGTGCTTCTACTTTCTCCTTCAATGATTTGACATGACATGGACAGCCCTTAGCCCGGCTTGTCACATCCGTGTTTGACATTTTTAAAGCTCATAGCTCCTTCAACCTCGGATATGTTACGGTTCTTCCTCACCTCTGTACAATACGATAAGACCCCCGGAGGGTCAACGCTTCTGTCTCTTTCGCCTTTATTCGAGCACGGCCTCCTGATTTCCTCTTCTTCAGCTTTCTTGAATTCACGCGCACTCCGATAGTGGAAACACCGTATATACAGCCCTTATGTGCTAAAGAATTGCCCGTCTTGACCATGCCACCTCCCGCAACGCAGACAGGTGGCCAAGCACCGCCTCCTACGTCGGCCCCCCGCGAATTGGCAAAACACCCCATCAACACGAAAGATGTACCGTCTACACAGCTCAGTGGTCCCGAGGGACAGTCGCCACAGTATGGCCACCAGAGACTCGTATTCACCGATCCAGTTGCCCTCAGATATCTCGAAGAGGATAAATCGGCAGTTGTGCTAGGTCGACGATTGACTTTGGAAGGATATGAGGCTTTTATTGTTGAACAATGGGCCTGCACGCGCATACACCCTACCTTCATAATAACCACCTATACTGGGGATCCTTCGCACAAGGTCGTGGTGGGGGTGCTGAGCGTCCCCACAGACGAGTCTACGTGGTCGCCCCGTATGAAGATGTATTTCGGCGCAGTCACGCAATGCCAAGCGCGGAAAAAGGAAACGCCTTTAGGAACACTTATGGTTACCGATCTTAACGTGTTCCCATTGGCACTGACTCTTATTCCGGTACCCGACGGTGATGTCCTAAAACACAAGGATGATTTTATCGTCAATGAAAACCTGAAACGGTTGGGCTGCTCAGGCCGCTCTGGTTTGAAGCTACAGCCACCTTCGCCCGCTACCGAGGGAAAGTTCCACCACCTTTACCGGACGAGCGAGAAGGTGCCTCTATATACTGCCGTCATAGAGCTTGTGAAGCAATGCCAGATCGCCCTGATGATGTTTGGCAATCTTGCTCCAGAGTACGTTGATGGACTGCTGTGCGATGTCACAGAAGCGGCAATAAATGATTGGTGGACCGAGACGGGTATGGATTTATACAACATTGAACCGAGTGATTCTATGTTGGGCCCTATTTCAGTAGCCGCCCTGCTGGGTACTCTCATGGGGGCGCGAAACCGGCTACATGCTTTCGGCGCTCCGGTTGGGAAGGATGCGTTTGACATTCATAACCTAAAGAAAGGCATTGGAAGCTTTCAAAAATCCCAAAAGCTGAAACGTACCCGAAGGCTAGATCGACAGACCTTGGATCGTCTGCACCGGGTGACAGCAAAAGCTGCGAATGCAGAAGGCTGGACCGATGCCGTAAAATCAACCATGGCAGAATTAAGCGGCCACGGGGGAGAGATGGTTATGGGAATGGTCCGCGGCCGCGAAAAAGGCGGGATAGCTGATATCGAGACCCTCGATATTGACAACTTCGCACACCTGGTCACCGGTGAACGAGCCAAATGGCTGTGGAGGGGAAAGCCGCGGAAGGGCGGAATCGACGACGGTTTTTCTGGCAGTGCACAGAGTGCAGATATGGTATTCACTACAGACGACCAGGGTGGCCATATTTGGACAAGTCGAAAACGATCCTCGCACGAAGATTTAGTGGCGGACCGCGCGCTGCAAAGCTCAGATCGTCCATGGAGGCCGCCAGAATCAGCATCGTCCTTGGATGAGAAAGACCAGAATCTGGGCCGGTTAGTTCGAAAAGGTGTGAGCGGGAAAGTGTCAGATGCGCGGGCGGGGTTTGGCCGGTTCAAGGATGCAGTAGGCCTCCGGTCCCATCCGCAGAAGCATTCGAGGGATGACATAGACCTTGGCGGTGACCCTGCTCATTTGCCTCCCATCGATAGCGACACGGAGGTGTCTCAGTCGAAGAAATCCGATGGTGCTCCAGTCGGATCCGTGGACGTGCAGGACCTTGAAGGCCAGGCCCCGAAGGATGACTTGCAGGTTGAGTCTCCTCCAAGGACAATATTACCGCAATCACCCAAATCAAGAGCGCCAGCCATAACCGTAGAAACGGTTCCATCCCAGGCTGATTCGGAGTCGTCGCGTAAGGTGTCAGTACCCAGAGCAGATGACGAAGTGCAGGACCTCGAGCGGTGGAGGACACGCTCCACCGACATTACCGTCGACCCTCGGGAGCAGACGTCTGAAGTTGGTATTATGCTCCTGCGTCGACCGCAGAGCTGCACCGAACTGAATGTGGAGAGGGACTCCAGTCGTCTCGATAACTACTGGCCCCGCCATCTGTCCTTCAGCACCGTCGAAGAGGTCGTGCTGGGATGGAATGACTTGGGAGGTGAGGCTTTCAAAGAGAAGCCCGATACCCTTCTGGAAGAGGCTATCATGCAAGAAGACATTCTAGCCTCAGATGCACGAATCTTCAGCTCACGTATTCAGGAGCTTAGTGAACACACTGTACCTTGGGTTGAACAGCAAGTATCTTCTGTGGATGACCTCAGTCGGTGCTTACACGAGAGTCACGAAAAGGTCAACGCCGCCTACCTGGAACGGCTGTCTACATTTGAACAGATGAGAGCTAGATCGAGCGACCTGTTGACGGAAGAGCACAGCCAACTCACCGATTACATGAGGAGGGTTGAACTAATGGGCGCGAAGCTGGACTACGAGCTCCATGTTCTAGATTCCCGTGTCGAGGATGTCGAAACCAACCTCGACGAGTTCGAACGGCATGTAAATGCCATCGAAAACAGGGTCAAGCTGCTGATACGGGGCGAGCACGAAAAGCAGGACAGTTCCTGGTTCTCCTGGTTGGGGAGAATTACCGGATGCTCAACACAGTGACTGCAAATTCTCTTTTCCCAGAAAGAAGCCTTGTAGACATATATCATTTCTAATGTACATAATTTCCGAGATAGACTTGCGCAGTTCGCGTTGACCGTGCAATGCCAAAGACCCAGCCTTCGCTAACAGCAAACCCCCAATCCCAGAACCAAACAACCCTGTATATCCATGTCCGAGCGGAAGTCATCCATCCCAATTAGCATAAAACCCAGGCCTTCCGCTCCTGTTCAGTCATGCCATAAGAGAGACCAAAGGAAAACAAGCCATCCAGAAGAGCAAGCATGACAGATCTGAAAACCCGAATAGATTATACACGTTTTATGAAAGAACAGCAAAAGATCCAATTAGATGAACAATCATTTCGTTGACCTCGCACTTTACATGCCGAAACCACCCATGCCGCCCTTCTGGTTCGCCTCACCCTGCATCTTCTCGCTGACCTTCATGTTGACTTCGAAGAACTTGCCGACACAGCGGTCAATGCAGACGGACTCGCCCTTGTTGAGGTCGCCTTCGCGGTAGTCGTTGGGAATGCACTTCTTGATGCAGGACTCGGTGAGACTGGTGGTCATGATTGGGTTAGTCAAGTATATAAGGTGTCGGGGAGCAGGGTGTGGTGTTGGGAAGGGGAAGATGAATATGGTTTTTGTAGCAATTGAATATGATGACTGAAGCTTACCGGCTGAACATGTCGGTGACCATCTCAACTTCCGTCTCAGCCGCAGCAATCTTCTGTTCCGAGGAAAGCTTGGGGGCGCCGCCGAAGAGGAAAGACATGATGACGATGTGTAGTGAGGGTGGTGTTGTTTTAGCTGAGGTCAGTCAATTAGTAGCTGATTTCAATATAAGACGGGCAATTCCAGGAGTAAATCGGTCACTTACAAGTGACAACAGAGTTGATCAATGAGTGTTAGAAGGAGTATGATGTGAATGCGCTGAATTGAGCTGCCGGAGCAGACCTGAAGTTGCCGGGATTCGAAGCTGGCCCTGCCGCTGCCGCTCCTCACCGCCTTAGGAATTTTCGCCGGATCTGCAAACGCGTATTTCCCGCACAACTTGGCTCTCTTTCTTTTTCCTTTTTCCCTTCCTTTTCTCAATATGTGAGCACGTAGTAGTTCTCTTTTCACTCTCAATGCAACCAATTCGCCCGTTGAGGGCGCCGTCGTTGCGGGTTGGAGGTCTTTTGTCTAGGTAAGCAGTTATATGTTTTTGCTGTGTTTTCACAATGGCTCCTCTTTATCCTGCAACTTGCATGATGAGACATACCCTTCCAATTACAGAACCGCTGCATTGAAGCTTGGGAGTTTATCTTCCAAGTTATGAGTAACAAGGAAGCTTTATGTCTTCTGATTTATCTTGTCTCTGTTATTTAATTGTATGACTTGTGCCTGTTAGACAGTTTGCTAACGGCATGTTCAGGACAGGACTTCCGATTTCCCGTACATCGCAGGCTTTCCAGACTTCTGGCAGGCTTGCTCGAGTAATACAGCACACTCATGCACCTCTGGTACAAACAAGGCAGAACAGCGTCGATGCGTATCCTGAGAAGGCGTTCAAGAGGCGTGTGCAACTGATCGAAGAGGCTGTTGCTGAGCCGTATCCCCGGCTCGCGTCAAACAAGAACACGGTGAGCTGTACGGAGTTTCGTGGCCGCTACAGCCATCTAGCAGATAATGAAATAGTAGAGGATGATACAGTTGTTATTAATGGTAGGTCCTAGTTTCTAGCCTAGCTGGCTTCTACCATGTCGTCTCGTACTTAAATCAGTAGGTAGGGTACGTACCTTAAGACTTGTTGGAGGCAATTTGATATTCTTCGACTTGCTTCATGATGGCCATAAAATTCAAGTTATGTGCAATCGTCGTCGATTGAAGGATATCCCTCCGGCGACCTTCAAGCAGTTCTACCGGATGCTTCGGCGTGGCGATGCCTTCTGTATGTTTCACCAGCCGTCCTTAGTATCCTGCTTAGACTGAACGATATCCTATAGCCGTAACGGGTAATCCTCACCGGACTGAACGAGGCGAGCTTACGCTCCTGGCGACTGAATTGCCGCAGCTGCTGTCGCCCTGTCTGCATGATATTCCGGTTGATGCCCAGGGGCAGGAGAACTCGCCGTATCCCCGACATGTTCAGTTCCTTGCGGACCCAGAGACAGTAAACGTCATCAGAGCTAGATCGGCAGTTGTCCAGTATCTTCGCCAGTTCTTTGTCGACCGGTTGTTTATGGAGGTTAATACGCCCATCATTGAAGCGGTTGCTGGCGGTGCAATTGCCCGTCCCTTCCATACTACAGCCACCGAGTTTCCAGATCGTCAATTGTCGTTACGGATTGCGCCGGAGCTCTGGTTGAAGAGGTTGGTGGTAGGAGGGTTCGACCGGGTTTTTGAGATTGGACCTTCGTTCCGCAATGAAGGTATTATTTGTCGGTCGAAGTGCTTGAGCGAGTACTGACAATTGTGACAGGCCTCGACAAAACGCACAATCCCGAGTTCACCACTTGCGAGTTCTACCACGCCTACGCCAACCTGGAGGATCTCATGACCACGACCGAGCAGCTACTTTCGGGCCTGGCTGAACACCTTACTGCTTTCCACAAATCGTCCCCCTTCAAGAAGCCTAATCAGGAAGACACACCTCTGCCGTTTTCCCATCTCAACTTCTCTGCGCCCTTCCGCCGACTCGACTTCATCACCTCTATCGAGCAGAGCATCGAGCAGAAGCTGCCAGACCTCACGTCTCCCGATGCTCTGGACCAGGTGAAGGCGATCTTCCGTGACCGCAACCACGCACTTCCCGACAAAGTGACCCTCCCCCGGCTGCTGGACGAGCTCTGCAGCATCTACGTCGAACCCCAGTGCATCGACCCGACCTTCATCGTCAACCCGCCCGAGTGCTTGTCCCCTCTATCAAAATCCTTCATCCACCCCACCACCAACCAGCGCGTCGCCGCCCGCGGAGAGCTTTTCATCGAGGGCCGCGAAGTCGTGAACACATATGAGGAGGAAAACTCGCCGTTCGAGCAGCGCCGCAAGTTCGAAGACCAGGTCCGGTACAGCAAGCAGGCCGACGAGGCGGAAGAGATCGATGAGAGCTACTTGAAGGCGCTAGAATGGGGTCTCCCTCCGACTGGCGGCTGGGGGTGCGGTATTGACCGTCTCTGCATGTTGTTCACTGGAATAACGAGAATCGGGGATATTCTGCCTTTTGGCAACTTGCGCAAAGTGACCACCCGTGCTGATGCAGCGGCTGAAGGCCAGGCTGCTGAAGGAAAGGAGATCTAGACAGCGCTCAGTGAATGGGAGACACGATGACGCGTCTTGCGGCGGCACTCTCATTGGTCCGTTGCAGGCGAGTGGATTTTCGCGATTCTTGCAAGATCTCGCCATGAGTGTCGCTCGACGTTCACAGTCTTGCTCGACTGCTGAACTGGAAACTAAATGGAGTCAGAAAGGCTCCAACTGCAGCTATGCAGCATAGCTGCCTGTACATTACATGAACCTTATGTTATAGTAACCACACAATCCACCTCTCCAATGTACATACCCACAATCCAGATATCACAACTCTTAACTCACTCAAACACATCACTTTACATTCTCCCAATCAATTCCATTCGGCCGGCCGATGCCATCCGATAAGAAGCGCCGATAAGCACAATTGACCGGCGCGGGCCGAGGCCCTCTATCATCCCACCTGCAATCTTTTCCCCTCATTATCTCCTCTTCAATTCCCACTAACACTTAACAACCACCACAACACCAACACAAACACCACCACCACCACCACAATGGCTCTCAACGACATACCCGTAGCGCAAGCCGTCACGGTCACCCTGCAAGACCTAATCGACGGTACATCCCCCAACCCCAATCCCCAAAACAACCAAACCCACATCCATCTCACTAACCCTCCACAAAAAACAGGAACCATCCCCCCCACGACCCTAACAGAAGCCTTTGGCCCCTCCTCGCTGGGCATAATCCTCGTCAAGAACCTCCCGCCAACCTTTCCCCACCTACGCGCCCAAGTCCTCTCCAACGCCTCATACCTCGCCTCGCTGCCCCCCTCAACCCTAGAATCCCTCACCTGCGCCTCCGCCAAATACCTCATCGGCTGGTCCCTAGGCAAAGAAACCCTCCGCGACGGGCACTACGACACCCACAAGGGCTCGTACTACCTGAACTGCGCGTTCTACAACGACCCGTCCCTGCAAGGCGCGCCGTCCATCGACGCAGAATTCCCCGAATACACCTCCCCCAATATCTGGCCGAGCGAGACGGATCTCCCCACCTTCCGGAGCAGCTTCGAGCAGCTTTGCACACTAATTATTGACACGGCGGCGTTGGTGGCGCGCGCGTGTGACCGCTTCGCGGTGGAAAGTGTCGATGGGTATAAGCCTGGGTATTTGGAGAAGGTCGTGAGGGGGAGTTTTACGACCAAGGCGAGGTTGTTGCATTATTTTCCTACTGAAGGTTCTAGTTCTTCTTCTTCTTCGGAGGGAGGGAAGAAAGAAGAAGAAGTGGGTGAGGGTAATGATGATGATGATGACGACTGGTGCGCAACGCACCTCGACCACGGATGTCTAACGGGTCTGACGTCCGCGATGTTCGTCGATGAGGAGGCGCATGATCCCTCCTCCTCCACTTTGGAAGATAAATCCTCCCCCTTGCCGGAACTCATGACCTCGCCGGATCCTAAGGCCGGGTTGTATATCCGTTCCAGGACGGGCCAGGTCGTCAAGGTCAATATACCCAAGGATTGTCTTGCGTTTCAGACGGGTGAGGCGCTGCAGCTTATTACCAGGGGCCAGTTCCGTGCTGTGCCGCATTTCGTGAAGGGGGCTAGAGGGGTTGGGAAGGTGGCGAGGAATACGTTGGCGGTGTTCACGCAGCCGAATTTGGAGGAGGAGGTACAAGATGGGGTTACGTTTGGAGATTTTGCTAGGGGCGTGGTGGAGAAGACGTCGAAGTAGGATGCCAACTTCATTATTTGATCGGTGTCGGTGTGTGGTTTGTTTGTATAGCTTTCTGGTATCATCTTGAATATAGTACAATCCAGCTCTCAATCATCATGTCTTACTCGCTTCCGTTCCCTCTCTTTATCAGGCACATAGTCCCCTTCTTCGGTTTCCTCTGTCCCGCCGCGCAACTGATCCATACGGAGCGAGAAATCCTCCTCCTCCTCCTCCTCCTCCTCCTCTTCTTCTTCCTCCTCCTCATCATCCTCATCACCGACAGACAACCGACTCGTCCCCTCCTCCGCCTCACTAACAGGGTTACTCAAATCCGCACCCCCCAACCCCGTACTAACAAGCTTACTGAGCTTCCCCACCTTGGCGAAATTCGACCTGGACTTCGTCGACGGCCGTCCCACATCGCCCGGTATCTTGGCCTCCCTGAAATCCGCCGCTTTGGCCACCCCATCCAACACACGAAGATTCGCCCTCCACATCTTCATATCCCTGGCGTCGCTATAGTGTCCCACATCCTCTCCATTCAACGAGTCAATCGCAAGCGTCTGCGTGCGGAAATCGCCCCAGAACCATTTCTGCCCCTCTGGGATGCGTTCGTCTGCTTGGCGGGAGTACTCCCGTCCGCGGAGCACACCATCCAGATCGTATCCGAGGGATAGGGATCCGAACATGAGTTGCAGGGTGTCGGGTTCGTAGAGTCGGCCGAGAATCATGTCCTGGGATACGTCAACCATGGCGCCGGGGTGCATGCGGTACCAGTCGCCGTAGCCGCTCATGCCGACGTAGTGGAAGGCGGAGACAACTTCGTCTGCGGTGAGGGGTTTGATGGGGTGGAGGGTGTTGCTGGTGAGGTAGATGCGGCGGTCGCTGGGGGTGTAGATCTTGCCGCGGATGCGGATGGTGTATTTCTCTGCGAGGTGCTTGGATTTGCGGTCTGAGTCGCAGTCTTTCAGGTCGAGGCGGATCTCTTCGATTACCATTATGTCGGTGACGGTTGGTGAGGGAGTGGGTTGCGGGTTGTTGGGGTTGTAGTTCTGGGGTTTCAGGCGGACGGCGTCGCCGATGGTGAGGAGCTCGGCGCCGATGAAGATCCCCCGGCTGTAGATGGATGCGTCGGGCCAGATGCCTTTGAAGTGGTGTTTGTCTAGGAGACTGAAGGAGGACATGATGGTCATGGCGTATTCGATGGAGGGGTGGAGGTTCTTGCGAGGGATATTTTGGAGGAAGTGTTCGTAGGCGTTGAAGGGTTTGATGGATTTCAGGTAGATGTATTTGTAGTGCAGGGAGTAGCTTTTGTCAGGGCTGTGGGGGTCAGGGAAGGTTTCGACGCGGAAGCCTGAGTAGTTGATGCTCTGTTTTTTGGGGGATGTCTGGACGATGTCTTGGAAGATGGTGTCTTCTTCTGGGACCTGACTGACGATACCTGCTCGCCATTCTGGGGTGCCCAGCCAGCGCTTCTCGCTGGGGAAGTATATTTGGATCTGGTTATTCACGGGATTCCAGGCTAATTCGCCTTCGAAATCTGGCGTCCAGAGCACGACTTCTCCAGCACGGGGCAGAAAGGACGGTTGCATGTCCAGCTTTTGGATGTATTCGTCGAGTAGTGAGCGCTCTGCGCGCCAGTCCATGCTTCCAGGCTCTGTGATGTCCTTCTCCTGTAACCCCTGTAGCTCGAGCTGCATAATGGCCATCTTGAACACGTCTGGTGTCCCCTCGTTATCTGTACAAGGGCATGTCGCCGACGAAAGCTTTCCTGGAGGCCTGCCTGGAGGTCGGCCAGGGGGCCTACCAGGGGGTCGTCCTGGCCTTCCTGGTGGTCTTCCCGGTGGCCTTCCGGGTGGTTTGCTTGCGCTTGATCCGGGAGGTCGACCAGGCGGCCTCCCCGGTGGCCTACCAGGGGTTCGGATCGGCGTTCCAGTCCCAGGAGGTCTCCCCCGAGGCCTTCCAGGACCTCGTCTTTCTGAGCCGCCTTCTGTAGATTACTGTCAGTATTGCATAGGTAGTCCGAATATTGGTCGCGACATACCTTGTATCCTCTTGGACATTTTTTCGCAAAGAACACAAGTGCATGGCTCTTGGCCGCCTGTCATAAGATAGTAGAAGTGCGGAAAGAACTGCTTCGTGGAGTTGAAATACACATCTGTTGGATGGCCATAGAGGAAACGATCGTACTGCTGAGAGTCAGGGATATGAATGCACCCAGAAGTAAAGGGCTAAAAACCCACAATGTCGGGGTTTGCAATACGCGGTCTGTCAAATAGAGCATAACCATCAGGCAGACTGTCCAGGATGTATTCCACTCCTAGAAGCAGGGTTAGTGAGGTGAAATAAATGCGAATATAATTTCGATATGCTAGCATGCAGCGACATGTCGTTTTCCCTTTCTGATCAAAGAACAGCAACTATTGGTGGCCTTCACATGATGGTACAATAAGGTATACGATGCACCAGATATCTCAATATGGATCTGAAGTACAGAGTCCGAAAGGAGTAATGGATAGATAAATGACAAACAACCTCCAAAGCAACCGTGCAAAGGTGTAGAGCATCAATTGAAGTAGTATAAAGTCAAAATAAATCATGCAATCAACGTACCACGCTCATAAGCCCCCGTTTTCTGCAGCCACATGGAGGCCAGCTTCTCTCGATAGTAACCATCGTCTGGTCGCAGAAATCTCTCATCTTTGGGCCAGTTGTCCTGGGTGCCGTCGCTGAATGTTCGGTTGATTGGTATGACGACCATTTTTTGCTGGTCTGGTGAAGACGGGTCTTCCATAATGATTGACATTATAGTAGAAGGGGCGTCTTCCCCCTGCAGGAGTAGTTAAATTTAGATAAGATTTGAATAAGAGCTGGAAGTAAGTTGTGATTAGTCTGCACGCAGAATGCACATTTTGGGATATAAATGAACACGTGACTAGATTCCTATATAAAAGAAGAGGGAAAAGTGAAGGGTAGAGATTCAAGAGACAGGAAGACAAGAACAGAGCTATGCAGCATTGATGATAGTTAAATGCATGGGTCAAGAACAGGATCCGCTCTGCCGCCGTGGGTGATGGTCATGTGACTCTACAGATGGGTAAATTATCACAGCTTCACAATAACAGGTTAATCTATTTCCATCATCCAGAAGTCCGGGTACAGATTCACTCGGACACTAAGTCAACATGAATAGAAAATGAAACAATGGCCACAGCTTCGGCTAATCTGACCTGCAGTGGATGAGAGCCTACTGCTGATCATCCTGTACCTCAACTGCTTCCGAGTCGGATTCATAGGGTGGTGGAGAAAGCTCTCCTTCTTCCACCCAGACCTTGCGCAGCTCGTTCTCAATATCCTCCCGACGCTGTTTCCACTCTTCCACCTTGTCAAGCCGCTTCCGTATCTCCTGCAACTCCTTCTCAACTCCCAGCTTCTCCTTGGCGGTGCCGATCCTCTCAAACTCCCATTGCTCGCCCCCTTCGCCAATACTAATGCTAAGGTTGTATGTGTGGTACTTCTTGAGCGATGCGCGTGTGGAGATCGTAATCACGGTGATTCCCCGCTCTTTTGCCCGCTGGTACAGCAGGCCCTCGACATCAGACGAGACTGCTGAGGTTCCTTCATCAAGGAAGGCATAGCGAGGCTCGTGATAGTAAATTCGTGCCAATGCCATGCGTTGCTTCTCTCCTCCACTCAAGACATCCTTCCACTCCTTTCGAGTGTCCCATCCGCCTTCGCGTCCAGGGAGGTAGCCTAGGTGAGCGTCGTCCAGAATTTTCTGCAGTGCAGCATCGGTTACACCTGCCTCGTGCATGTCGATTGCAGTGTGGGGGTAGATTACTTGATCGCGGAGAGTCCCCACGCTGAGATAGGGCCGCTGGGGAAGGAACATGATGCCGTCAAGCCCAAACCCTCTGGGGCGACTGACCAACCCGCGGTACACTGGCCACAGCCCTGATACAACCCGGGCAATGGCAGTCTTGCCGACCCCGTTCGGTCCAGATATCAGGAGGTGGTCGCCGGAGTGCACGACGAATGACAGTGACTCGATCAGATCATCGCCACCCCGGGGATATATTGAAGGCGCGACGATGGGAACCTGTTCGAGACGAACACCATCAAAGCCGTTATGAATAGTCCCTTGTACATCCGCGAGAGAGTATAGCTCCGCATGAGAATTGCGTGGGGGGTAGTATGCACTCGCATGCACTCGGTGAAGGGTGGATATCAAACTGTAGACTCGAGACGTGTACCCAGCCAACTCCGAGATGTCTTTGATACTATACATCATCCGGCCACCAGCATCCGCCAGAGATAGCATCAAACGTTTGTTCGTGATGAACTCCTTCATGCGATCGCGTTCTCGACCAGTCTCCTTCGGCACGTCCACAAGCTCCAGGGCACCACCCATGCCGCCCCAGGCTGGAAGAAATATTGGCAGAGACGTGATCAGGTACCCAAACGCAGACCAAGCGTATTTCAGAATGACGTCTTCGAGCATGTTGTAGCGGATCTTGAGGCTATAGATACCCTCCATCCAGCGCTGAAGGTCTTTGAAGCTTCTCATTAGAAAAACACGTTCGATGTCCGCGCCGCCATAGAAAGAGATTTCCTCAGCATTGGCGAGCAACCGTGAATGTAGACCCCGGAAGTCACCCTCTTTCTTTCCCTCCACAGCCTTCAGCTTTCCAAACGGTGGTGAAAGCTTCCTCAGAACTGCTGCGGTACTGAAGTAGCCCGTGAGGATACCGGTAAGGGCCAAAGGCCCGAGAGAACGATACAGTTGATAATTAAACACGAATAGGTCCACCATAGGCTTCCCCATGGACGAGTATAGAGCTGCTGCTGCAGAACAGAAGAGCGTGAGGTCCTGGGTAATGAACTGGTCTGGTCCTTGGCCAACACCGCCATCCAGATTCATCAACTTGTAGTAGTTGTTATCGCCAGTAAGATAGAGATCGTGGATATACCTCGTTAATCGGGTCCGGAACGCAATAGACACCTTCGATTGCAGGAACTTGATCATGGCATTGGTGTAGGAAGCCAGTGTGCCAATCCCGCACCATTTGAGAATGCCCCAAGCGAAAGCGCGCCCTTTGCCCGCGACAAGATCCCTTACGATCTCGCCATCAAGCCGTGCGATCAACAGAGACAGGTACGTCCGCAAGAGCAAGAAAACCCCATGACCCATTAATAATCCGGTTTCTTTGCTACCCCATCTCGGGACCATGATACTCCCTAGGCTGAGAAATTGATGAAGGAATGCAAGGTTGATCCCAGGCTTCGTGGTTGGCGGTGGTATTTGATTCACTGATTCGCCGTCGCCGACACGGGCGGCAGCAGGTGGATTCAAGAACAACCGCCGATGCGCATCGAAAGTCGTCTGTTTGGTCGGATGGATTACAACCTTAGAGGTCATGGAGCCCTTATAGGGCACATAGATGGTACGAGTGCCATCCTTGCCTCGAATCCCAGAATTCCGACGCAGCAGCCGTCTTCCTCGCGCACGTTCTTTGGCCCTTTCGCTGAACCATTTGTAGCCTCCATAACCGGAACCCAAAATAGATAGGATCAGTGCAATAGTGGCGATGATTTGGGTGGTCTTTGATGAACGCTTGATTCGGGAGCGAACGAGACTGGTGTATTTGTTGTACAGCGCCACGAGAGGATCTTCTCGACGACGAAGCGTTGAATGAGCGGCCATTATGCTTCATGTATAGCCACAGAACCACTTTTGACACAATCTGTGGGCACCTTGTAGGACAGTGCCCTCACGGCAGCTGGCATTCTTAGGCCAGACTGTCGAAGGCCATCAGGAGATGGGGAGAAGCGTCCGCAGGGATGACGCGTTCTATATCGGTCTGTGGTGTAGTTTCGAGGTCGGATATGCTGTAAGCAGGAAGTATGAGTAAGAATAAGTGTGGTTGTGAGACTGTTGGTAGCGGACAACTCACTCAGGAGCTCACATTATGGACGAAGCTGACAATGTTGTTGAGAGTTAATGCATGTGAAGACCTCGGGCCAACATTGCGGAGGGGCGGAGGCGCACCTCACGTGCGGAGTCCCCAGACCTTCATTACATCAAGTATCAGTGGCCACAAGTTTTAGCCTTCACAGAAGACCTTTTCGCTATAGGAGATTGCCTATGAGCCTAATCTCCGAAATGTGGTGACGATGGCTTTTAGTTGTTTTTAGTATTTCAAATAACTAGTTAATAAAGCCGTTGACATCATCCGGTCGATGTCGGAGTAGTGAATCGCTTGATTTCACAGATCTTGTACCACAAGTATTACTTAATGAGCCACCCAAGTTGCATCAAATGATCGGCAGTAATTGGCTGTGATAATTGTCTGCGTTATTGAGATTTGCAGGTCCATCCTCTGGCAGTCTTACTATGTACCTAGGGCCCTTAAGCGCCCAACTTCCTAAAAGGGACCCAGGCGCTGCAACCAAGACCGGCCGGATAGTGCAGGTAGTAGTTACGAGGTTGGTGGTATTATCTGATAGAAGTAGTTGTTATCTGTATCATTTAGTTGATCTGGTGCCGGTCGATTAAGCTTCAATAGCGGGAGGTTGATGGTAAAATACAAGGTCTACCAATATCGCACGAGGCACCTAAACTTGAGGTCAGTGCTGGTCCGCTAGACTTTAATCGAAGAACCATATGGCTGGCCGGCACTTTGGCAACCAGGGAAGCCCGGAAAGATAACGCAAATGTGGATCGTTCTCAGACTTGAACATGGTATTCCTTGATTCCAACATTGTGGCCTAGCTCTCCCATTTGTCCTCGATCGTATGACTTGACAGCCAGAAAGTGAAGGCATAATCATGAATGAATTTATCTCGAAGAACAAAAATAGCATCCGAAGGCTGCAGTCTCGCACTTGATGCGGGGGTTGGATACAAGAGTGGGGATGGCATGGAGATCAGGTATTACAGGGTAATTACCAGCTCTTTCTCTCGCTGTTGAAGCTGAAAGATGGTAAACAATCCAAACAGTCTCCGCATACCTGTCTGAAACCAAAACTTGACAATCACTTGGATCTCAAGACAAGCAAAGTATTTCGTAGAATGCGCCATCCCCTCTGTGTCAATGATCAACCAGGAGGGATACTGGAATGTATCACCCAGACAGAAATGTTGTGTCATTGGGGTTGTTGCTTAACTCCTACTTAGCAGACCCCGCAAACTATGGATGGCTGCAGTGGCATCTTCTTTGGCAGGGATGACTATCACCATTAGAAGCAGACCGTTTTTTACGAAGGCAGGGTAGCACAAACGAACAAAAAGGGAGGTTGATACCCTACAGCGTATAAGAAATATTGAGACTAGGTATGTGTGCAGGTATGCAAGCATGGGTAGATGGCTAGATAGGATGATCGACTCTTCTTTCGACAACTGCACGGGCCTATTCCTGTTGAGCAGCATCTGATTTGCAGGCAGTCCCAAGTAGATGCATGGAATGACGCCCCGGGCGCATTATCCGCCAGCCATGGTGATGAGCCTTTCTAGACTAGAGCATGTTAATGTTCTTGGAAGATGACCTCTGGATTTCTGAAAAGCTTGCTGCGGATGGCGACCTTGGTCCCAGCGAAGGAGGAATTAGATTTAGATTGACGGGCGACGACATGGGAGACCTGAGCAGTAGCTGAGGCCGATCACGGTCGGTAATAGTTAGCCAATGGTAGGACCTATTCTCAACGGACAACGAATGATGCATGTCTTGAATGACCCAATAAAATGCCAGAGGGGCTGAAGATATTAGATGTGAGCGGAGTCGTGGTACTGTCTAGGGCGTGCGGTTTTTTAGGCTGGAAGGCTAGCAGGACGAGAAGCGAATGAAGAGAGTGACTTCTTCGGAGTGGAGGTGCCCGTTCAGAATCTCAATCGCAGAAGTCGGTAATTTCGACTCGATCCTGTATCATGAGGTACTGATCACCCACAATAGCTGTAACTTATTTCCTGAGCCTTGCCTACTTTAGTAGTGGTGCTGCTCGCTTGGCTGAGCAGATGGCCGTCGTCACCTGGAACTGTTTCCAGGGTCTTGAAGAGGATGGAGGGAGGGCCAGGGTGTTGGTCTCCCATGATTGTTGTGGTCATGAGGGACAAGAAGCTGCAGGTTCAGGTGAAGGTGGTGTGCACCATGAATTGATCCGACTCGGGCAGTACAGGCTGTTACGGAAGAGAGATGCTGTGGCTACAGAAATCACAGCCCCCTCCAAAGGACACCATGAAATGGGAGCAGATATGCATGACTTCGAAAGGACTATTGAGCTGCCAGATATACGCCAGCCTCACCTTGTCACTGGTGATTGAGACCACCTTAACTCTTGGCTACTTCCGATTCGTCCTGGAAGCGCCCACGGAAGAAAAGACGAGCCAGATCCCTGCACCAAGCCTTCTCGGGGTAACAATGATAGCACTTACTTTCGGGGTTTGCTATGCGATCCGTGAAAGAAAATAATTGAAAACAAGATAATCAGACTTTCATGACTTCTCCCAATTTTACTGATAATTTGGATGGGTACGACTGCTATAGTTATACTTACGAGGATATGAATGAGCCCATTCTCGAGTCGGAACCTGTTCCGGATGACCTCGAGTCGAAGGCTACAGAAGACTTACTTCTACCGGGGACCGAGCTGCTGTGGGTAGGCGTGTAACTCACTAGCTTCTGGCTATGCATGAATTACATCAGTCTGGATCAAATGAAGTATGGGGGGGGGGGATCCTGCTGGTATCCTTATCGTCCACATGTCTGTGCAATAGTTAATTTGAATCTTTTGGAAAGCGTGGCTCACCAAGATGCTTGCTCATGGTAAGTTGATTTACCGGTTCCAATGGGAGGTAATCAGGGCGTGCAAACTTCAAGGTACGGGGCATCTCCCGTCAAATCAGGCCCGAACCTGCTGCAAATGGAGACTGAACCTCCGTCTCCAATGCTGGACCAGCCAGTCGCAGCAGTTCTGAGGGTGTCTGGCCCCAATTCTGCAGCCCTGCATCTTTTGGTCCAGACCAGACTTGGCCTGTGTTCTCCCGCTTTTTCTTTTTCCATTTTTCGTTCCTTTTTTCATTCGCCTTTTTCTCCTGGGGCCCGTACTAATTTCTCATGCGGGTTCCGATGTCTGCTTGCTGCTTTTCTTTTTACCCCTTGCCCCCCAAGGCACATCCGAGCATTCATCATCCACCATCAACGTCCCTACTTACTTACTTCTTAGTACTTAACTGTCCCAGTTAATTTAAGGTCATCACCTCCGTAAAAGTCAGCGCATAGCAACACGAATGGAGTAATTTTAAATTATTTTTTATTTTCTTGCACCTTATTAGTATTATTATCATTCCTGTATTATTATTATTATTGCGATGATAATGTTAATTTTGGTTTTATTACTATCATCATTGCTGTATTCACCCACCCACTTCCACCTCCCTCCTCCCCCTCCCCTCCCTTCTCCTCTCTCTCTCTCTTCCCCCCTCGGGCTCTACGTATTATTTTGCTATTGCCCTCTCTTTCTCGGTTCTCTTTTCACTCTAGTTTCCTCCCCCTTTCCCCTTCCTCTTCCTCTTTCTGCTTAAACCGGTTAGCCGCCAGTCAAGGAGCTAAGGAATAAGCCACTCTCCACTATCATCAACCGGCTTGCTTGACCATATCAAAGCACCACCGCACCTGGACTGATTCCCCTTGGACTTCCGTGCTCCCCTGTCGCTCATCCCGACTGTAGAAAACCGTCATCAGACCGTGTCCAACTAGTGGAAAGAAAAAGTCTCTCTTAGCCGCTGGCTACACTTTTGACACTTCCTTTGCCCATCGACTAAGCGAAAGGGACGAACCCACAGCACAAGAGTCCGATCATCAACCGCCGATCAGATTACTTTCGGGGGGGCCCTCTTTTAGAGTTCCTTTTCACCTTAACTTCCCTCCCGCTGGCCAACAACCCGTCAGCCCCAGTGCAACAAACGATCATACCCTAGATCGTTTACGTTACAGCTATTATTCTTCTCCAACTAAACTAACTCAACTAACTACCGGGCTGTCTGGCCGGTGACCTTTTGCCTTAACCTTGCCTGAACCTTTTATCATTCGTACCACTTAGAAACAAAAGAGGTCATCAAACGAGTCAAGAGGAGCTGCTTGCGCCCTGGCTCAACCACGTGATCCCTACGTTCAAACAGTCCTGCACTTTCACACGCTCGAACCCTTCCATTCCTACGATCATCCCCAGACTTGACTTCCCAGATCGTGCCGGTCGCATATGCTTTTCTGCTCGTCTGCCGCCCTGTATTCTGGACATTGGAGTGCGGATTGATTGGATCTGCTCATTGCGAACGAGTCTTTTAGTGCTGCGCACTAGCCTTATTCAAGGCGGTGGTCCGGGTCCCAGAGCTAAGCAACTTACTGGTACTACCACCTTAGTAACCTGCCTCCATCCCATCCATTCAGTACGTGCGAAGAGCCAGGAGGCGTGACTGCACCCTCTCTCTCTCCTCTTCTTCTTCCTTGCCGGCGCAACCCCCCTCCCTCCCCTTCTCGGCGGTAACCCTGGTGGTCATTGTCCTCCGACTCCTCTCTATCTCTCTCTCGCTCTCTCTTTTCTTCTCTCGTCACTCTTCTCTCCCTTCGTTTTTTTGGTTGCCCCGTCCGCTTAAGTGAACCTCGCTCTGCTACCCTCAATGCTCGGAGGGAGCTTAGAGCGAGATTCTTCACCATCAAACTCAAAACCAACCACTGGAGAAGCGCTCATGCCTATCGCGACGAGTCCCCCCGACTCCAGTAAGTTTCCAACTCCGTTGTTCCTGGCTTCGCAATCAAATTCTCCGATGCGCTTGGGTTGGTTCCGAGTGCCGTTGCTGATATCTCCTTTGTTAGATCCTGAACCGCCGCCTCAGGACCAGCCCGCCACCACCGATGCGTCGCCTCCGTCGAACCATGTAGAGCCCGTCAATGCGGCTCAAGAGTCCGTCGCACCGACCCAGGGCTCGGTAGAGGACTCTGCAGCCACGTCTGCTGACGCACCGAAGAAACATCATCTACTGTTGCCCATCCCGTCGCGTGCATCGTTAAAAGCGGATCGGCAATCTACGCTGGACAAGAGTCAAGACACCGCTCACGATGACTCCGAGAATACTCTTCGCGGTTCGAAAAGAAGCATATTCAAGGGTCGTAGGGACCGGAGCAGAGGTAGCAGTATGAGGTCGCGTCGGCAAAACCAGGAGGGGGCGAGTATGGAGGAAGACAAGTCGGCAAGCCCTGACTTGCGTGATCCGGCCAAGCCAGAGAGGAGAAGCAAGGTCTCGTATAGGTTGTTCGCCTTTTTGAGCTGTTGTTCCTCGCCCAGCGATGATTCGGAGGACCCTGCCATCCCAGCGAAGCGGACATCCAGACAGCCATCGGTTCCTCACACCCAGGCCACTCCGGAGAAGGCTGACACCAATGCTGGTGATTCGAGCACCGCGGAATCCAAAGACCCCAGCTACTACCGGGATGAGAAACCCAACATGACTGTGACGTCGAACCAGTCCATGTCTCAGGTGGACGAAGAGCGCACTGTGACTACTTCCGAGCAGGGCGCTCAGCTCGATGGTGCAACGGTACCTTCGGGTGCAGCAGAGACAGAGAAAGTACCGGCTTTGCCACAGGACAGTGCTGAATCACAGGGGCTCGGTGTAGGCCAGAGTACTCAACCTTCCACTACGACCGCCGAAGCAAGCGCTGTTGCCAGCGAAGCGGAGGAAGCCGCTCAGAAAGCAGAGGAGCAAGCGATCTCTCCCCTCACTGAAAAGTCTCAGGATGCTCCGACTGCTCCTATAGAGCTGGATGAATTGCCTAAGCCCCCGGCGTCCGAAAATAGCTATGACGACGAGAAGTATACTTCACACGACGAGGAGGCGACAGTAATTCCAGCTGAATTGCCTCCGCCGACGGGCCCATCTGGACACCACGCCGATACAATGCTAGAGGAGACGCAACAGCAATTCCTCTTGCCGCCACCTCTTCCCCATCTGCGGGACAGGAAATGCTTGGTTCTTGATTTGGACGAGACGTTGGTTCACAGTAGTTTCAAGGTCCGCCATCCTAAGTTTATCATCAACCCAGTGTTAGACTAACCTATGTTCAGGTTCTTGAACGCGCGGATTTTACCATTCCCGTGGAGATTGAAGGTCAATATCACAACATCTACGTTATAAAAAGACCTGGAGTCGACCAATTCATGAAAAGGGTGGGCGAGTTGTATGAAGTGGTTGTCTTCACCGCTTCTGTGTCGAAGGTGAGTTATTCCACAATCAGAATCATCGGCTACGCATTCGCTCATGCTTCATTAGTACGGTGATCCTCTGCTGGATCAGCTAGATATTCACAACGTTGTCCACCACCGACTGTTCAGGGATAGTTGCTATAACCATCAAGGCAACTATGTCAAGGTTTGTTCCACTCAGTGTACATTGTCTTGCGTGAATTGTTTGCTGATCCCTGGTTAGGATCTCTCTCAAGTAGGCCGCGACCTACGCGATACGATTATCATTGATAATTCCCCAACTTCGTATATCTTCCACCCTCAACATGCGATACCCATCAGCAGCTGGTTCTCTGACGCCCACGATAACGAGCTTCTCGATCTGATCCCCGTCCTCGAAGACCTTGCCGGGGCACAAGTGAAAGACGTTAGTCTGGTTCTCGACATTACATTGTGATGCCTGTAACTCTAGTTTTTTCCGGCATTTGCATTACAGCATGCTTATCTTCACCTTGCGGGTCCACTCGGTTTTCAAAAGAAAGAGTCATCTGATTTTTGATCAACTATACGCATGGAACGTCTGCCGTGTCGAGCAGCCAGACCGTCCGGGCAGCTCAATCCAGCTTCGTCTGGGATCTGAACGCTCGCGGCAGTTCCACAGTGAAGATGTGTTTTCCTTGGCTTTTCCTCCCCATCATCATCTTTTTGCCTTTATCCCCATGTCATTCGCACCGTTTTTCTTCCGAGCACCGGCCATGTTCTTGCGCTCCCAGCGAGCAGATACCAGATTACCCCCGCCAGTCTTGTTTCCTAGTGTTTAAAGTTTTCTTTCCTGTTGCATACCGCAGGCGTCAGTCTTGGTCATCAGCCAAAATTTTGCTGATCTCATGTATACGCTCCCCGATTTACATTCCCTCTTTTCTTTCATCTGTCTCTTTCTACTTTTGATTCCTTTCATCGTCCCCATTTTGTTCTTTTTGCTTAACATGCAGCCCATAAGAGGCTCGACCCGCCGTCCTGGTTATTTTCCTAGTCTCTTTGTGCCCGAAGATGTGAACCCCAAAACCCAGCGTTGTTTTTGTCATTGGTTCGCCATGGTCTATTTTTTGGAGACTCCCCTGCGCGTGGCATTTTGATTCATGTCTCAAGCGCCTGTCGCTGCTTCTGGTACACGCATGGTCTGAACGGTTCCAGACTTACATGGGATCGGACTTTGCAATGTATATGTACTGATTGGGCGTGCGTGCTGTACATAAAAGCGTCCGCCTCCACCATCCAGCTTGTCCCGTGTTTAAGTAGTTTTGAATTGACCATTTCACGAGACGGCCGAGTTCCAGAGTAGTATAGATCAGAAGTGACGAGTAAAACAGGCGGTAACGCATGATGGACAGAAATATTGGCGATATATCGAGCATCTAGACTACAGCGTAGAGTGGATCGCCTCGTAACGGCGAAGGCGGGCTGAGATCACGCCGCGGCAATAATGACCGACCGATCGGTCGGTCATCTCCAAATCTTCCATCGCATCCCGCTTTTGTCCGCACTACATCGTGTCAGCTCATGTGAGTATTCCCCGATTAGCCCCGTCTTGAACTCTTTCATACATATATACATACATATTTCCCCTGCAAGGCTGTGTCCGCTTCCTTGAGCCTCCATCCAAATCTCCGACGATCTCCTGATATTTCTTGGCAGCGTCATACCCAATCTCCCCGCCTCCAACTGCATCACCACCAAACCAACTTTTTTTCCAGGACCACCCTATTCCACACACACGCCCACACCCCATCGCTTAACATGAAGGACAAACATGGCTGGGACGGAAAGCTACGGGTCGAACCGAAAGCCACGATCACGAACCCGGAAGCACTAGAAGACCCCGATTACTCGGACTCGGATGCGCCGCCCGTGGAGGAGATCGAGGCCGATGAGGGTATGTCAATCAACATCCACACATACCGGGATTATGATAGGGCGTGGTATGCCGGCGATGCGAAGGGCAATATACTGATGGTTGGGTTTTATGCAGATCTATTGGAGGACGAGGACCCAGACGCAGAGGTATACGCTGATACTTCTTCCGACGCGACGCGTTCGTTGATTAAGGGACACAGCCAGTTAGCTAACACACCTCGCATCAGGAAATCGACCTCGTTCACTGTCGCATAACTTCGCTTCCGGCGTTGCGGTTGGAGCGGTTTCCCAAGGTGAAGGTACAGCGATGATACCCAGTATTTGTGTAATCGCGCGACACGGTGCTAATTGAACGGTGGATGATGGCAGAGATTATGTTTCCGACAGAACCAAATCACACGAATCGAATTCCCCACGGAAGTTGCCAAGTCGTTGACGGAACTCGATCTCTACGATAACCTGATATCGCATGTGAAGGGACTGGATGAGTTCGAGAATTTGACCAGCTTGGATCTTAGCTTCAATAAGATTAAGCATGTTAAGAATATTTCGCATTTGGTCAAGTTGACGGATCTGTATTTTGTGCAGAATAAGATCTCGAAGATAGAGGGGGTGGAGACGTTGACGTCGTTGAGGAATTTGGAGCTCGGGGCGAATAGGATTCGGGTGGGTTTTGAATGTACTTGAGGTGATTGCTGGGGTATCGTTCTGACTTCTTGCAGGAGATTGAGAATCTGGATAATCTGAAGGCGTTGGAGGAGCTGTGGTTGGGGAAGAATAAGATCACGGAATTGAAAGTACGTGGGCTGCGTCCCAAGTCTTGGGTGTGATGTGCGTTGGCTGACTGACTGCGATGATGATAGAACCTCGATGGCCTCTCCAACCTGCGCATCCTCTCTATCCAGTCGAACCGTCTCACGAGTATCAGTGGGCTCTCGAACCTGAAGAACCTGGAGGAACTCTATGTGTCCCATAATGCGATCACCGACCTTAGCGGTCTCGAGGAGAACACCTCGCTGCGCGTGCTGGACTTTTCCAACAACCAGGTGTCCAAGCTGGAACATGTGTCTCATTTGAAGAACTTGGAGGAGCTGTGGGCGTCCAACAACCAACTGTCGAGCTTCGATGAAGTGGAGCGCGAACTCCGGGACAAGGAGAAACTCCAGACGGTGTACTTTGAGGGCAACCCGCTACAGACGAGAGCGCCAGCATTGTATCGGAACAAGGTGCGGTTGGCGATACCGCATATCATGCAGGTTGACGCGAGTAAGTTTCCTTTCTTTATCTGTCGATGCTTAGAGATACTAACGAAACGCAGCGTATATCCGCGTTGTATAAGGGGAACGATTTCTTCATCTTACATGCCATCAACCTCATTCATAGCTATTAATGTACCCGCCCACCTACCCATCACCTATTAGAATTACAATAAACGAAGTGACGTACGTAGCCCGCTATACATACATGTACAATCCAACCGACCCACCCTATTATACAGGGGAAAAAAAAGGAAACATATCATACAATCATCAACCCAACCCAATCCACTTCACATCACATCACTTCGTCCCCTCACCCTCACCCTCCCCATCCTTCCTCTCCCTCTCCCCTTGCCCTTCCATCCCATTCCCACTCTCACTCTCACTCTCCACCCCAAACCGATACAACCCCATCAAACTCTTCCCCCCAAACCTCCACACATCCCGATCCAGCATCCTCTTCACCCGCTCCGGCACATGCGCCTTCCTCCTCATCGGCCCATCCGCCAGATAATCCAACGGTATCCCACTCTTCACCAGATCTTTATACATATGGCTTTCCTTATCCACGTAGAAGAACGTATGGTATGGGTTGCGCGTCATCGCCGAGACGTGGTTATGTCGCGATGGTTGGATCGTGCATGTTAGGGTCGGTCCTTGGGGTTGTGGTTGTGATTGTGATTGTGGTGTGGGGTGTGTAGCTGTACGCGAGGGAAGTTCGTCTTTTCCCTCTAGACTCTGGCTTTGTGATTGAGTTGGTGTTTGTGTTTGTGTTTGAGATTGTACAGGGATAGTAATCGGCGACGCCGCAATGGCCGAAGACGCTGCGGCCGCGGACTCAAAGATGGCGATGGTATTGTGTGCGGATTTGGGGGATGTGTTTGTGGGGTCGTACTATATCCACCATTATCACTTTTATTAGCATTGAGTTTGGTTATGTAATGTGGAAAAGGGAGGGGGTTACTTTTAGATTTCGAAATGTCACGACTTCGCCGAATTTCTGGAGTGCAGAGAGAATGAGTTTGCTTTCGGAGAGGGAGCGTGGGGCCGGGTGCGTTTTGATGTGGATGCTGCTGGTTAGGGGTTTTAGGGTCATTTTTTCTTGCTTATTGGGATTGGGGTTGGGGTTGGTGGTGTTGTGGTGGTGGGTTCATGGTATTGATGAAGGTGTGAATGTGAGATGGAATGGATGATGGGGATGGATGGAGAAATGTTGGTTATCGCGATGCGTGTCTTGGCGGGTTTATCTTATCTATTATCTACAACCATGTCACATGCCATCAAGTTATAACATCGTCTACAAGATTGGTTATGTATTCATATATCGTATATACACTCATAGCTGGGTCGTTTTAGAAAATAGGAGCGTAGAGTCCGTACTGTAATTCAAATTAGTAAACAATTCCACATATTGATACAATGGAAGAAAAAAGGGGATAAAACTCACTCCCAAAGGATCATTGAACCGCAACCCGCGATCCAACCCAGCAATAGCCTTAATCTCCTCCTCCTCCAAATTCCACCCGGTAACATCCAAGTTCTGCTTCAACCGCTGAGGGTTGTTACTCTTCGGAATAACCGCTACGCCCCTCTGCGTGGCCCACCTCAACAACACCTGCGCCGGCGTGCGTCCATGCTTCTCCGCAATGCCCTTAACCAGCTGATGCTCGAACAACGGCGGCGAATCCACCGCATTCTGCACGCTCAACTCGAGGAAACTCAACGGTCCAAAAGAACTATACGCCGTAACTGTCAACCCCTCCTTCTGGGCATACTCAACCAGTCTCGTCTGCGTGAGGTAGGGATGATGCTCGATCTGCAGCGTAGCAGGGCGAATGCGCGCATACCGCAGCAGATCCATGACCAGCTGCGCAGAGAAGTTACTAATACCGATGCTACGAGCGAGCTTCTTGTCCACGAGCGACTCCATCGCCGTCCAGGTCTCTTGGATCGTGGCGTTGCCGAACTCCAGCTTGTCGTTCTCGGACATCCAACCCGGCGGGTAGCGAACCGCAGGGTCGACGTATTTCAGTGAGATGGGGAAGTGCACGATGTACAGGTCGAAGTAGTCGATGCCCCAGTCGGCGAGCTGCTTCCGGCAGATGGGTTCTACGCGGTCGCCGTCGTGGAAGCTGTTCCATAGCTTGGAGACGATGAAAAGCTCTTCGCGCTTGACCAGACCGTCTTTGATGGCCCGCGCGACACCTTGGCCGGCTTCGACTTCGTTGCCGTAGTCTGGCTTTTATTAGATTGGGGATATTTGTAGTGTTTTATGAGGGAGGCAGTACCGCAGGCGCCGTCAAACAGACGGTATCCTTCCTTGATGGCGTGGTAGATCTGGTCCGCGCAGGTGTCGTTGTTCACCTTCCAGAGACCGAAGCCCACGAGGGGCATGTCGTAGCCGCTGTTTAGCTTGACGGTGGGAGAGGCCATGGTGATTGAAGGAGTAACAAGGTCGTGTTGAGACAAGGTATCGAGACGCGGTCAAAGTAGGATCAGGGGGGATGAAGGGAGAGAAAGGGAAGGTTTGGAGGGGTAATAAGTAACTGCCCCTCGGTCATGGTATTATGAACTCAAATCCATTGCGCGTATCCACTGGAGGCGCCATACACGGCACAGATAGCGGCATTGGAGGCTAAATGAACTTGTGGCGGCTGTATTGAATTGGGGTAGTAACTTATCCAAGGGTTGGCCGGATGCCATCCAAAGTCGGGCCCGGCTAAATGCACCCCATCTGCCGGCTAAATGCCGCCACTTGACCCTAATTTTGGTTCTACCACTACGGAGTACTGTGTTTACAAATTGGAGAAATAATACTTACTACTGCTAGATATTAATGAGAATATTGTGTTAAGAATAAATGAATAAAAAATCATTGTAAAAAGGTATCCTGCCATTATTTTACACTGCATATGAATCGAAGATTAACCGGCCCATCACATTATTAAGAACACTTTTTTCGCCATAATTATCATTAAGTAGTCTCGCTCGGCCTGTCATTAAACGGCCTGTACTGTATTACTCGCGGTGTAAGAGTGCGCGTGCTCATGCGCTCCTCCATTCATATCGGTCGGCAGGCTGCTCGGCCACTTATCGAGCTCCTCGGGCATAAAATCATAGCTGTGGCTTGGATTTGGCTCACGGGGCACCGCAACGTGGTGCTCGGATGACGGGAAGCCAATGTGCGGGTAGTGGCTGCCGGGGATGTCCCCAGACATTGCGGTGGTTGGTGGCATCCAGGATGCCTGGCTGTTGTTCATATCGTCGATAGACTGTGCGCTCGTCACCAGCATGCCGTTCAGCAGGGCGTTGTTGTCGTGCACATTAACCCCAAGTGGCTGGCTGTGGACATAGTGGCTATCATGCTCAAGGCTGTATGGACCATGAGAGGAATGCGACAAAGGAACCTCTGGCATGCTAAGAATGCTTGTGCCACTGTTGGGCCCGTTGAGGCTGGTTGGCTGGCTGATATCATGTGATTGGAGGCTTGGGAAGCCATCCAGACCCAAGGTCACGGCGATCTTATCGTTAAGGCGGTCTTCTTGCTTGGGAAGGGGACTCATGAAATCAAAAGGTGCGTTGAACATCTGTGCAACGCTCTCCTGGCCTGTCGAATACAGAGGCCAAGGGTTCTGGGAAACTCCATTGTTGTGAAGGAGTTCGTGCGGCTGGGGTTGATGGTAAACGTTAGGGCCCGGCCGGTTCAGGAGTATGGAGTCAGCAAGCGACATTGGGGGAGGGAGATCGATGCCCGTCGCTGCTTTGGGGCTTGCATGAGGGATTCGATCCGACGAAACCACTCTACGCCATGTTGTAGTGCCAACTACGTCGCGGGGCAGCGTCTGTCGGAATTTCCAGAGAATGATTGCCACCCTCTTTTTCTCACTCACTGGATGTCCAGAGTAGGGGTTGGACATTCTCCGCGAGCTGTAGGGTGTCATAGCTCGAATCTCCTGAACTACGGTCAGGTGGCGGAGGAACTCCCGAGCTTGCTCGTGGCCATGGTGTCCAGCATCCTCGGCCAGCTTTTGATCTTGCGTGAGCTTGGTGAAGCGATTCGCCCACCATTTGGATTCAAAGTGAGGCTTCACCTTGGTGTGCGTCGCGGTGTGCGTTGGCCTCGCAACTTCTTGCCGGCCTTGATAGATCTCTTGTCCATTTTCATACATGTAGATCTTGGAGGACCAATTCTCCATCTCACTGAGAATCGGAGCTCCAGCCGCACTAGCCTGAGCAAAATCTAATTCCAAGTGAATGCCGAGTTTAGAGCGAGCAGCCGGGAAGTCATCCATCAACTTCAGGTTGGATTCGATTAGGATAATGTCACAGTCCAACGACCCATTGGAATTCGCCATCAGCGAATTGAGGTAAGGAAAGGATGTTTGCCAGTTCCTGATCTCATTCAAAGAGATCGGTGCTACCGGATGCCGCTGGTCGTCTTGAAGGCGACTGTAAATATGGCTCGCGTCCTCAATACGGTCGTTCTTGTCTGGCTCGTTTACCCACATACCGAACCCGAGGCCTTGGATAGTACTGAAGTTGCTCTCGGGCCAGCTGGCGTTCATGGAAAACGGGGTAGGCGGCAGTTCTCCATAGGCCTGCCTCATAGGGTCATGATAGGTGGGGTGGAGGTGAGTGCCATAATGACTTGACAAGGGAGGATCCATGGCAGGCCCCCATCTTGGACCAGCGGGCGGATGTTGGTTGTTCGAGCGGACGTTCGCCTCTTCTCGTACGAGTCGCTCCCCTAGACACTTGTATTAGCCCAGTCCGACTTTAGTATAACTTGGCTATGCCACTTACAATCGGGGTCTCCTTTGAGGAACGAGTCGAGGACTTGGAGGTGGCTGGAGACTTGCTTTCGAGTTCTTCGTTTACCAGTTTTCTTGTAGATGAACTCAGCAATGAGCTCATTTCGACCATATGACTTTCCTCGCTCGGACCATTTCCGTCTGCCCATTGGCGGATTCGCCTCGAGAGCTATCACAACATTAGTATTCATATGTCGTGCAGCTAAAGGATTGCTTTTCTCACCTTGTTGAAACGCGTCTTCAAGCTCGTCCGACCATACCGGTTCCCCATCTTTGCCAGTGTCTCGACGAGGACGGGACCTGTACTCCAGATACTTGCTGGACCTGAGATAGCTTCTGGGCCTGCTACGAGGACCGATTAGGCTGGGCCCAAATGAATGCAGGCGCCGGAGCTTCTTGCTCTGGAGCCGGAGGTTCTGAGGGGGCTGAAGGGTGGTGGGAACAGTGGGCACTGGATGTGTTGGAACTGGGGGTTGAGGATACTTGAAGGCAAGTTGCTGCAGCTGGTCGTCACGACCAACAGTGCTGCTGTCGGCTAGGTTGTCAGAGTATGTCTGGACGTTCCCAGAGGTGTTCTGCAGGGCCCTGTCCGTATGGGCACCGATGCTCTCAAGAGCTGACTGGTGTTGAGGCACAATACACCCCGTTTGCCAGTGCGCCATCGAGCGGACCACCGGAGAGGATTGACTCTGGGAAAGAATGACAGAGAATGCCAAAGAGGAGGGTGATGGAGGACAGCAAAATGCTTACTACCGCCGTACCAAAGAACCCAGTAGTCACAAACCAGCGATCAAGAACGTAGATGCTTGGAGAGAATGTAAGAATTGGGAGAGAGAATGTGGGAGCGAAGAGCATGGTGTTTATAGGAAACCACTACTCTCCCTGGGGAGGGAGGCCTAGTGGCATAGCTGAATCACGCTGCTCGTTGATACACCACCCCTCCAAGGGCTATGTCAACTGTTCAAGGCGGGGAAAGGAATCTCCTCCCAAGCTTCACGCGTCCAGGTCGAGCTATGAACGAAGGAAGATCCTGTGTCCGAGCAAATCAGGAAGAAAGGAACTGCACGATGGGAACAAGCGGAAGACCCATGCAAGGGATGCTCCCTGAGCACGAACCAGTAAGCTGCTCCTCGGAGGTTTTAGTGCACGAGACAAGCAGTGACTGCTAATTTGAGATACGTTTTGGAGCAGCTAGACGTTCAAGTCCGTGGCAATGGCCATTCTCTGGAATGAGCAGTGGCCAACGACATCGTCCAGTGCCACGGGAGTGGAATGTAAGAGGTGGTTACGTAGATCATGTTGGAATGTATGGCCTGGACAAATTGGACAATCCCAGGACCAACTAGTCTTCACTTGGATATCCAGGGTTCGAGCAACTAGGTGTATAAGGAGTTAAGGGTAAGAAGCCTTGAATCGGCGAGGATAAAGGAACCCGGGATGGGATGACAGGAATAGACTCGGATGAAAGACTTCACTGCACGAGCGGACGGGTAACTCTGCAGGACGCGCGCGTATGTACGTGTTGACAGCCGCAGGAACGTGTTTAACCTGCGTCCGCACTCCATGCTCAGTGTCCGAGACGCAAGGGATATAAACATCAAAATCGTACCATTGCTATTGTCTGTCCCTACTAACAGGGAGAAAGAGCAGGGACTTAGTCCTCTTCGCCGTCCTGGGCCCCTACAGTGAACTTCTTGCGCCCAGGCCCGGCAAGCTTTTGTAGCTTGACCCTGTCCATCTGTTCCCCTACTTTCTTTTCGATCTGCTTGATTTCTTCCTCGGCATCGATCGCCTCCTCGTTTGCAAATTCCAGGACCAGCTTTCTGCCCAGAAGATGGGTATTCTTCAACGCGTCCATAGCGTTTTCCGCTTCGCGAGCGCTTACAAAATCCGCAAAACCGAAACCGCGAGCCGATCTGTCAAACTTCTTAGGAACCCGCACAGAGCGCAGTTGCCCATAGGCTCCAAAGAGTGACCGAACGTCCTTCTTGGTGGCCTGGAACGGCAAGTTCTTAATGATGATCTTCGTCCTTCTGGCCGCAACCTTCTTCGCGGTATCTTCACGCCTCCGCTCTTCAGCCGCATCCATTCCACGGTGAGACACCCTTACTACCAGTTCATGCTGATCAAGCTTGTAGCCATTCATGGCGGCAAGCGCAGATTGGGCCTGAGCTTTCGACCTGAACTCCACGAAACCGAAACCCATGCTGAGCGTTTGTCCGGGATGCTTAGGGTCAGGCTTAGTCTTGATCTTAGCAGACACAAAGCCATCCAGTGGCCGGAATAAGTCCACAAAACTCTGGGTCGTAGTAGCAAAGTTGAGGTTCTTTACGAAGAGGGTTGTAGTGGGCGTAAGGTCATCAACCTCATCTGCCGCGAAAGTGTCAGCAGTGGAGAAGCCTTGAGAGACGGCCTTGGTCTCTATGGTTGCCTTCTGTGGCACGGCTGCAGCATCAAACAGATCCTTGGGAGCCTTCTCCAGGAAGAGGATAGAGTCTCCGAGTTTCCGGTAGGCAAGTCCCTTAAAAGCTTTCTGAGCCTCATCTGGTCTCGAAAACTCCACGATAGCTATCGTTCCACTAGGGGGCATGAGTAACCTCGTTATTTGCCCGAATGGTTCGAACATTTTCCTGAGCTCATCAGTCTTGACGCCGTACGAGAAGTTCTTTACAAGGATAGCAGTGTTTCCACGCTCCCGCTGCTTGAAGGCTTCAATATTAACCCCATTAGCTGAGAAGTAAGCTTTCGTTTCTTGGATTACGTGGGTTTCAGCGTGGGCCTGCTTCACAGCAGCGTCAGATGAAGTAGGATCCAAAAGATCCGCTTTGGAAACACCAAGTCGCTCAGCTACTGAAGACATAACGGCATCCGTCTGCAATATATTAGCGTATAATACTGGCGGCTATTGTGCGAGCTACTCACGTTCATGTAAAGAGAGTTCCAGCTAAACGTAGAAGACGAGGCATCCATCTTCTTTTTGATTTGCTTTTGCTTTTTCAAAGGCAGTTTCGCCAGCTCAGCATCATCAATCTTATAAGTCTTCTTCGCAGCTGCTGGCAGAATATGCATCAAGCGACCTTGGAAATGCTTTCCGTCGAGATTCTTGTAGGCCTCTACAGCCGCATCTGCGTCGAGATACTGAATGTAGGCAAACCCCTTGCTGGTATTAACCCTGGTATCGAAAGCCACATGGATCTAGGCACATTAGCATAATTCAAATAACTAATGAGTGATCAAGAAGCAATATTAAGGTGTGTAGCTCATCAGATAACAAGAGGCATCTACTAAAATACTCTTTCCTGGTAACATCATGTGCTTTGCATCTGATGTCCCTATCAGGACGATCATCATTGAGCTGGGTGGGGGGGTCGTGGATGGCAGGAACTAAAACTCAGGGAATTACTAACCTCTTCAATTCGTCCGAAAGGAGCAAAGAGCGGTTCGAGATCTGACTCCGACGTGTCGTAAGCAAGGTTTCGCACGAACAGACGTGCAGATAGACGAATGCCGTCGATATTCGTGTCGACCTGCGGCTCCTGAACCGTCTTGGCTTCAGTGGCCGCGGGAGCGACAATCTGGGCATCCCTAGAGTCAGCACCTGGATCCTCTGCTTCTTCTGGAGCTGCGGGTTCCTTCTGCTGCGCAGCAGCGTCGAAATCCGCCTGCTCTTCCTCATCAAGCAGACCAAGAAGACGACTTGTCTTGGACCGGAGCCAGTCCGCATCCGAAACAGCTGGCGCCTCGGTCTCGGCGACAGTATCATCCTGCTCTGCCGGTGCCTCGGCGTTTCCTTCCCCACTGTGGTCTACCACCATGGGTTCGGGTGATCCATGAGCTTCGCGATCAGCTGTGTGCATCTCCTGAGAGCGATCATGGTCATCGCCAAGCTTCGCCTTCTTCCTTTGTGCATATGTAAGCTCCTGAGGTTGCTCCTCTACTTCAGCGGGCTGTTCTGCAGGTGAGTCAAGCTCCGGCGGCTTGGGCACATCATCATTTGCCCATGTTTTAGTCTTAGACGAATGTTGCATTACAGAGAGATACTCTTGCAAGCGAGCGTCTTGCGGGGCGCTTTCGCCATCCCGTTTACGCTTGAGGGAAGTATCTGCGGCATCGCCTGCAGAGATCTTATCATGTTTTCCAGCTTTGCGAGTGGGTTCGGCATCGATCTACAAGATTACTGGTCAGTCACAGGACCACCTTGACTGTCAGCGGGGAAAACAAAAGAAACAAAGCAAGTGTGGATAGGGAGTAGAGCACATACCGGCTTAGCAATGTCTACTGAGATTTTGGACATCTTCATGTAAGTCTTATTGAAGTAAGACACAGCCTGCTGGGCCGCCTCATGGCTCTTGAAGCCCACGAAGCCAATTCTGCGCTTAGGCAGTACATGAGCGTCTGTGACTTGGAAGCGAGTAGCGAAGTGCTTCCTCAATTGATCATCAGATAAAGTTGGCGGAAGGCCAGAGACAAATACTCTGGTGCTCTCCATGATTGTGACAATGTGTGCCACTGAAATAGTTTGGAAAGAAAAAGTTCGAAAAAATTTTGGTGGAATGTTTTTTTTGCTTCCTTATAGTGCCGAGGGCGGTGAGGAGAGCGGCCTGGCCCGTGCGTGATCCGGGCGGCGTCCATTGCGCGCAGCCGGCAATGTTGATTCCCAATACTTCCATTGGGCTTCGTGGGACGTCTTTGTACACTAAATTTAAAGTGGTGATCCGTGTCTTGAATCTTTGCTCATTTTACCTATTACTCATTCCTCATCGACGTCCAGCAAAATGGCTAGCGAAAAGAAGGATAAGCTTGAGGGTAAGTCCCCGAACGCGGCATCGTCAAACGATGGCTAACATGACCGTTCAGCGCAGATCAAGTCCGTCGATATGGTAAGAGGGATTGCTGGAGTTAAATAAGGATTGTGCTCACAGCATGGCAGACGGAGGATATGCAGCAGGAGGCTGTTGAAGTTGGTATGGTCAGCCCTACGGGTTACCTGGAAAAGGAGAGCTAATACGATGGATAGCAATTGAGGCAATGGACAAGTACCACATTGAGAAGGTAGGTTCAGCATTTTCTGTTGGTTACCATTGCTAACGATGATAGGATATTGCTCAATACATCAAGCGAGAGGTCAGCACTGCGCATTTGTATCCGAACACAGCTCATTGCTCACAATCCACAGTTCGATTCGCGCAAGGGTGCGACATGGCACTGTGTCGTCGGGAGGAACTTTGGCAGCTTCGTCACGCATGGTGAGTGACGTTGACTGGGTATCCGGGGTAAGGACTAACTTTCGAGCAGAGACGAAACACTTCATCTACTTCTACCTCGGGCACTGCGCCATTCTCCTTTTCAAGACCCAATGAACATACGACCGCAGACACCGGTCTGAATCGCCCAGGCGATGTCTATAACCTTTTCGGATAATTCAAGCAGAAGTAACGTGCAGTGAAAGGTCCCATGCAAGCGCTGGAACGAAATGCAGCCATATGGTCCCGAACAAAATGCTGCGGGGTTTGCCTAGAGGGCACAACGCGGCGGTGATTCTTCCGCGCATCTACCTGCTACTTGATTCCAATTCTTTGTTAATCATTTCAAAATATCCTAGTAGTGAATACAAGTTGATCCAATCGCAGAACTACTGCAGTGCTGCACCGTAGACACGTAGGCTTTCCAGCATGCAGGATACACTGCCAACCATCACTACTACTAAATATATAATGCACACCCAGCAACGCAACGACACCGCCGAGTGCGGAACGCCAAGTGCCAACCCGCGCCAAGCCACAGCGCCACACGTCAGCCCCAATCAGTCTATTATATGGCTGCCTCCCCCTTCCCATTAACTTGGGCTGCTGCCAATGTTATCCCTCTACACGTCGCATTACATGATCCAACGCGATCCCGATTCCTGTCTTATTACCTCCTTAGTTAGAATAAACCAACCCACCCTTTGTTCATCCTGAGAGCACTCCAAAGCCGCAAACATGGCCATCTGCATCACCTTCGGAACACATGGTATGTGACTTATCTACTCCCCTTCCCTCCTACTCCACCGACCGAGGCGACGACCCTTATGGATATCGATTCCACAAGAACCCACACCCAACCAACAAGAAAGATGCCGAAACTGACACCAAAGGAATTCAGAGTTCACTTCCATGCTGGAAGGATACGAGAATGTCCGCGCATTCTGCTATAACTGTATGAGTCCCCTGGACCCTGACAATCATGACTGCTAATTTTAGCTCTGGTTCCTGACCCAACCAATAATTTACTCGATTATTGACTGACCCGTCTTACTTTTTAATCTAGGCCAACATTGGAATGGTCATTGTTTGACGAGATGGTAAGCTTATACTTCACTAATACCTTTGGTTGAGGATATGTTTGGAGTCGTAATTATGCTAATGTATGATGGTTAACAACTAGGCCGTGGTTCACCGTCTGCTTCATTGTAATTATGTTCCCCGTCCGCATGACGCCGGACTCTACTGACCGTATATCCCCATATAGCCTGTCATCCCTCTCGCAACACATAAGTATAAGGTATGTTGATATATCATTTTCATCCTAACCTATATGCATCTCGGGGTGTATCTAATGTCATCATAGGAAGTAACCTGCTACACATGCCGCTTCACGCAGGATTTACGGTAATTCCATCCCAACATATTCCAGTAAAGAGGGAAGGGAAAGTAAAGAAACTAACATTTCATCGCAGCGACCGCCCTGATATCACCCCAGAGACGAGACCACCTCCGGGTGTCGTACCAGGCCAATTACCACAGGCGTACTATGGCGGCGGTGCACCTTTCTATCCCCCGCAGCAGGCATCAGGCCCACCTCCACAGGCGTCCGGGGGTGTGGTAGCGCCGCCGCAGCAGCAGGCAGAGCAGCAGAACCATGTGTATAAGTGATGATTATTTCTGACTTCTGTTTTCGTTGATGATGTATTATGATCGGTTGATGGTCCGTTGTCTGTATTTATCGAATACCTTTTGCTTGCTTGTTGCCCTTGTGCTTACTAGCTATCGCGCATGTATTGTATCAAATCCGATTCAATCACTCTATTGAGGTGCACAGTATATTATATGAACTCATATTATCATAGTACTACTTGAACTCAAGATTATACAGTAACGAATGGGGTATATATCCAAACCGATGAAGAAAACCAATCAAAACCATCCAAGTCCCAACAAATCCGGACATCAAACACATATCTCATCAACAGGATAACCAAGCCTCCACAACTTGACTGCCCTACTTCTCCAAAACCTCCTTCTTCTCCATCACAGGCGTCTGCACCCCAGAAACATCCCCACTCGTCATTTCCCCCACAATCATTCCCTTTCTTCTTCCCCTCTTTCCCGTAATATCCAACGCCATCATCCTCACCGTCCTCACAATGCTCTCCCGACCCTCATACAGCGGGAAAATAACCACGCCGAAAGTGGTACAGAACAGCCAAATCAGACCGACAACAACCCAACCAGTAAAGAACTTCTTGCTGAAGACATACGAGCTGCCGTACATAGGGATGGGCCAGAGAATAAGGAAGCAGAGGACCATGAAGATGGTCAAGGTGCGGGAGTAGAGAGCAGCGCGGTTGAGTTTGCGCGTTTCTTCCTCCTCCTGGGCGGCGGACTGGGTGTTGATTTCGCCGGGGATGAGTTCGATGTCGATGTGCGCGGCGGCGGCGACGTCGGCGTCGTCGACGCGGCGGATGGCGCGCATGGTGCCGTAGTCGTAGTTTTGGGAGCCGAAGATGAAGGTGAGAATTGGGGAGAAGATCACGGGGCTGAGGAGGGCGGCGACGTTGCCGGCGAGCATTGGGTAGCTGGTGCGGGAGTTTTGTTAGCTGTTTGTTTGAAGAGAGAAAAATATTGGGGTGGACTCACTTTGCGCCTGTCGTGGTGACCGTCAGGATGCCGTATTGTTTCTTGGTTGTCACGAGCCAAGCGATAAGGGAGACGGCGAGGCCGAGGGGTGGCGAGGCGGCTGCAGCGATCCAGTTCTGATGCTTCCAGATGAGGGACATGGCGCCGGGGAAGACTGCAGAGGAGATGATCACGCCCATCAACAGGTAGAGGTAGCCCATTCCGATACCAGCGTAGTAAAGACCGGTGGAGAATCCGGCCATGGCAATGGCCCAGAACACACAGGTCATGTGCGAGACCCAGACGAGACGCTTGCCCTTGGCGGATGGGTCGATGTAGGCCTGGTAGATATCGTAGGTGAAGATGGATGAAACGGCAATCAACTGGGCGGAGAAAGCGGAGGTGACTGCCATGAAGATCATGATTGTCGTGCAAACTGCGCCGCTGTAGCCGAGAAGCTTGACGGCAGCAAAGGGCAGCACGAGACCGGCTGTGACGTCGTCGGAGCTCAAGCGCTGAGTGCCCTCCAAGGAGAGAGCAGTCATGCCCAAAGTGCTGGCGCACAGCCAGGGAATCGCGAACCAGCAAAGACCACCAATGACATATCCGGGGAAAGCGTGCACGGGGCTCGCGGCAATGGCTTTGTTGTAGTAGCCGTTGTCGAGGAAGACGGTACTGTTGCATTCATTAGCAAGCAATCGATGAGGAAGTGTGGTGGCTAACGTACCCAAAGTTACCGACCAGGTTGATAATCCAGAAGATGCCACCCTCCTTTGACCTCATGGTCAGATAGCTTCCCTCGGCATTGCCTTCAACTGGGTGAAGTTTTGATGCTGCTACTAGTGCATCATAGACAGCTCCCGGAGATCCAAGCTTGTCGCTAGTCGCGTAGGCAGAGAATGCGAAGATGAAGATGACGACAATGATCACAACGGTGTGCATATAGTCCGTGATGAACGTCGCCTTAATACCACCGAATAGGGTATAGAGCACGACACCAATCGGCAGGAGGAAACAGGCAGCAACTGTATTAACCCCCGTGAGAGACGTCAAGACGGCAGAACCACCAGTCAGCAGCATGGCGGTAACGAGAATGTTGGTCATCAAGCAGAAGACGATGAAAACAACATGCACGACGGTTCCATATCGAGCACGAAGAGCTTCGAGGAAGGTATGCGCATTTGGAGCCCTCCGCTTCAGCTCAATGGCCAGGGTAGCGAACAAGATGATTTGGACCGTAGCACCTGTATCACCGAGTCAGAATGTCTTCGGCGTGTTGCTGTTGGCTGTACATACCTGATGCGTAGAAGAAAGGGCCCGAGATGCCGTATTCGTAGGCCACAGTGGTCGACTGAAGAAGAGTTGCAGCCCATGTCCAACTACTAACGACTGCCGCGGCAACCAAACCCGACTTGACTGATCTTCCAGCCGTGGAGAACATTTCCGATGTCTGCACTTCATTTTGGTATCTATGGGAGACCCATTAGTCTTGCGATACCATACTTGAAGAAAATCCATGTTTGGAAAGGGACTAGACTACACACCGCTTCAAAGCCCAGGTGATGAAGATCATGAGCAGGGCAAAGGCAAAGCCCAGACCAATGATGATGCCATAGCCAAACCCTTGCGAGAGAGGCGCTGTGAATGTGAGTGTGTCTGAAGACATGTTGGCAGTGTTTGAACACGCGAAACGATGCCTTGCTATGGCTGGACAATGACTGATGGAGACAAGGCCCTGAGCATGGCGGCAGAGGCAAGAACATATAAGGCACGGGACCCTCGAAAAATCTCCGACCTCGCAGACACGCTGGTGATCGGCGGGAAAGCCATATTGAATGAATCACTACCGATCCAATATCATTGGATCCGAGGAGTCAGGCCTGGGGAAGCGAATGGCTGATAAGAACAACTCCGGTGCCCGTTTCGTAATGTGCTTTCATCAGATGGGGTGTAACATCAATGGCAGTGGACTAGCGACAGGTGAGTTTAGTACCGAGTCATCGAGTAAGTGCCATCGTTCCACAGTTCCATAAGCATACACATGGATTATCCCATGCCCTCTCCACTTTCTTTGCAACAAAATCAACAGCCGAACCCCAAGTGGGTTATCAACGTATCGGGTCCGGGCAGCTTATTGGCGAGGCGGAAATGCTTCTTATCAGCGGAGGTCAGCGCAATGACGCCCATTGGTCCGAGTTGGGAGCGGACGATGATAAGAAGCCGTAGACTATCAGATAAGGATGTCAGCGAAGTCATGGATTGGTGTGTTGGTGCAGCCTTTCTCTTTGCCAAGAGTTTATGGCTTTATAGGGAGCAGCCTTGGTGATAGCGCTCTATCAGTTACTTAGTTTACTTACTCGATCCTGCCACTAATGCTTTGGGGGTCTTCCCCACTGCTCTTGGTCTTGGAAGCCGGGGAATTTCCATCATTCTTCGACTCCTGTAATTGGTGGGTGTCTGAGTAGGGGCAACTGATCTTGCCTTTATCTGATGTATGCCAGATCTCAGTACTGTGCGTACTGCGTAGGGCAGGCCTTGCTTGTGGATATGTCACCCACGTGTACTTCACTTTAGGCCCTTAACTTATCCTTACTTAGTATCTGGATTGATTTACATGATATATATTAGTTCATGACATTGGATCATAGTCTACTTGAGAGGTTTGTGCACAAAATATACATTGTCTGTACATCCGATACCACTACCGACTACTAGTAACCTCTTGAAGAGGGTGATAGTTCACGATTGGGGTGCCCATGGTATGAATATGCCATTAACCTACCCCAGCGTGATCAGTGATCTAGATCCGCACCAAGTATATATACACGATATACTGAGTTTCCTACTAACCCTCTTAGACTGACACAGCACCACCGTCATGATCTTAATACTACTAGTACCATCAACCCATCACCATAGTATACAATGAGTCTAGTCACTGCTAGTAAGCCTCGCATGACTCACCAATCAATCATAACATCAGCACTAAGTGGTTACTATTTTGGACCATCTCATAAACATCCACAGCCCACCACACCCAGAACCAAACCATCCACCAAAATCACCACCACCACCACCACACCAACAACAACACCATGACCACCGAAATCCACCGCACCAACGACCTAACCATCAGCCTCTCCCACACACCAACAACCCCAGGCCACACCCTCGCAACCCTAACCACCACCACCACGCTCTTCTCCCTCCCCAAATCCACCTTCACCACCACCCTCCTCACCCTGCGCACCATAACCCCTATCTTAAAACAAACCTACAACACCCCCCGCATCGCCCTAATAACCTCCGGCAACAAGACCATCTCCCTCCTCCCGCTCCACGGCCTCCCCTCACCAAACACCTGGACGCCCATACTAAGTCCCGAAACGACCTTCCATGATCCCCAAACCACGACCTCCCAACCCAACTACATAACATCCAAATCCGGCCCCCGCATGCCCTCGGCCCAACTAACCCACCTAGCCAACACCATCACTACTCACACCCTCTCCACCGCCAATTACACCTTCCACGGCCCGTCCACAGACACCAACCTCTTCGCGAACATAATCCGCGGTACCGAGCACCCCCAATGGCGTATCTGGGAGGATGAGTCCCACGTGGCGTTCCTCACGCCATACCCGAACACCCCCGGGTTCACGGTGGTAGTGCCACGAAGGCATTTGGGGAGTGATATATTTGCGCTTGGGGAGGAGGAATATAAGGGATTGGTGGGGGCGGCGTGGACGGTTGGCCGAGTGTTGATGGAGGCGTTGGGGGTGGGGAGGTGTGGGATGGTGTTTGAGGGGTTCGAGGTGGATTATGCGCATGTTAAGTTGGTTCCGGTTTATGGGGAGGATGAGGGGGGTGGGGAGAGGGAGGTGTTTCGGGAGGTGTATCCTGGGTATGTGAGTTCTTTGCCTGGGCCCGAGGTGGAGGATGTGGAGGAGTTGGTGAGGAGGGCTGGGGAGATTCGGGGGGTGATTGCTGCGCGGGGAGTATGAGGGATATGGAGAGTGGTTGTGGGGATTATAAAAATAAGAATCGGGACAGGGTTCGCTTCGACGAGTCTCGTATTTCATTGACAAGCACTATATTACACAAAACGCATTTCTTCACGGAACTAGGCTCTCCATTAATGGTTGATGGGCACAAGTGCACGGCATGATTTTATAGTGATGATTGTTCC